GAAAGACTGATTTAAGACATTTTAATACCAATTAAGGCCATAATTTTATTTTGAAGAATTCAATGCCTTTTAAGACTTTTTAAGGACCTGCGGGAACCCTGGATTAATTTATCCTATTTACTCACTATCAAAGTTTTCACTCAGTCTGTTTCACCTTGAAGGCCTCACCATTCCCTGCAGGATGGTGTTTGTAGCTTCCTCCCATAACAAACCAGATTATTTCTCCAGGTTTATTCATAACATTTTACTGTTTAACCAATGTGTCTGTAATTTGTTTTTACTCTGACTACTTTCCATTGTTGTAAGTAAGGAGGAAAAGACTCTGCTCAGGCAGAACGGGCCTGAATACAGAGCAGTAAGGGCTGGATGATGAACTGTTCTCTTTGCTAAGATATGAAAATAAAATGCCGACTGAGTGAAATCAATCAATCTCCGTTTATTTAACAAGACTGAATAGTTGAATACTTTTTTTTTCCCACTACATGGATCATTTCAAATGTACATTTTATACATTAACTTGTTTATAAAACAGTTAACTCAGAAGAAGCCATTTTGTTTTTATAAAAATACTTTTAAAACATGAGCTTTATAACAGACTGTAGATCTAAAGGGGGAAATCTGCAAGGCTAAATGCAATTTAGTTGCTAATAAATAGTTTAATAAATCTAGACTTTATGTAGATTTCTCAGTTTTATGGAAGTATTAATGATAAAGTATCTTATAAATGGTAGAAAAGTCAGAAACTGCAGAGTGGTTGCCTATCAGCTAAAGCTAGAAAAATTTAAACATAGCATCCGCTTTGATGAGCAATATTTCCAAAACTGAATCCAGTTTTAACTCCTTGCCTCTCAGGTCTCAGGGGGAGCTATGCTAGCGGTTTCCAAGGAGCAGAGCATAACAGGTAGGAGCCATGCATCTTTACATTACATTAAATAGTATAAAATGTTTTGTTAATCGGCAGTAAAAAAGAGGGAAGCACTTAAAAGATTTTAAACTCTCACAGTAACAAAGGGTATAATTCAAACGTTTTTCGAAAAAAGTAAAAAAGAAAAAATCCATTAGATTTTGTTTCCAAGTTTGAAGACGCTTTGCTTCCCATCCAGGAAGATTTTTTAATTCAAAATGTCAGAAATAGCGTTGAGTTCCAGGCTTTGTAACGCTATTTTTTGACATTTTGAATTAAAAAAGCTTCCTGGATGGGAAGCAAAGCGTCTTCAAACTTGGACACAAAATCCAATGGATTTTTTTTTTTTTTTTTTTTTGTTTTTTGGAATGACTATGACCTGGATGACTGAGAATCTTCACCAGCATAACAACTAACCTATTGATAGCAATGCTTACGTTGTTTAGGGTAACAAAATTTGGTTTTTTTAAATGTAGAGACCTTTTTTTTTTTTTTTTTTTTGGAACGGGTGAATGTTAGATCATTCTGGCTTAAACATGCATATGAAACATGTTTATAAATGTACTCTTTATCAGACTATATTGTCCCAAAAGTTAGAACATTTCTATTTTTAAACAAAACCCCGTCTTAAAATCTTTGGGGGGTTTTCTGTTATTTTATGCAGTTTCTAAGTCACCAATTTAGTGCTAATTGGTCCCAATGGAATTTCCCATTGGGAACCTGCTAGCACTAAGTTGCTAACTGGTTAGCAAGATGCTTCCTACAAACCGGCCACAACCAAACTTGCTTGCGAACCTTCCGCCACAACAATCCCGCCCCCTTGATAATCGACCAATCACATTCACTTTATTCACTCCTGTAAAGTCGGCAGAGATGGGAAGTAATGAAGTACAAATTCTTCGTTACTGTACTCAAGTAGATTTTTCTGATATTTTTACTTTACTTTACTACTTATTTTTATGGAGACTTTTTACTTCTACTCCTTACATTTTTACACAAATATCTGTACTTTCTACTCCTTACATTTTTAAAAATTGTCTCGTTACTTTAGTTTTGAATCATTTCAATGGAGTTACCGTTATTATTTTTCACGTCATCAATACCAAATTCAATCTAATTGGATGGGAATCTACGTTGCATTTGACGCACCGCTACAAGATGAATCGACAGATTCGGCGGTATTCATTGGCGGCAAATCAATGCAGCTTGGTGGCGGTGGCGTTAGCATAGTAGCATGGACGACGAGATGATTGAAAATGAACACAACGGAGATCTAGTCCTATTGGCAGACATCCATTTAAAATGTAGGCAACGGCATGAAAAAAGTGGTTTCTACTTTTACTTTTATACTTTAAGTAAATTTACAAGCCTGTACTTTGTTACTTTTACTTGAGTAAAGAAGTTTAATCAGTACTTCCACTTTTACCAGAGTATTTTTTAACACAAGTATCTGTACTTTTACTCAAGTACGGAAAGTGAGTACTTTTGCCATCTCTGAAAGTCGGGCACCACTCGGGAGAATTCGGAAATGCAACGGTTGGAACGGCCGCTTCCCTACGACTTTAAAGATCCGCAGGAACCTTGAGAAGGGCTCCACAGCTCTATATGCCAGAGCGGCGGTGCAGAGGCAGCCATTTTCACTCTTTTTTTTTTTTTTTGGGATAAAAATGTTTTGTTTTTTTGTTGTTATTGTTTTTTTTTTTTAAATCGATACTAGGAACTGAAACATCGATATGTCGGGCAGCTAAAAAATAAAAATCACGATATATTGCAAAATGGATTTTTTTCCCCGAACACCCTACTGGAGAGAAGCGATTAGGATCTCCTACAGATTAGAAATGTGGAGCTAAGGGCCTGAAAGGGCCTGAAAGGTTGGGGTCAGGGTGAACTTTACCCCTTTCTGGAGTCTTTTCCTCAGAAAGTCTGAACCACCAGGTTTGGCTCCCAGGTTAGGGTACCTGGCCTTCAGCTTGACCTCCTCTGCCTTTTCTGGGCTGATCACTTTATCCTCCATTTCCTGTTGGAAGCAGAACAGAAACTGACCAATAAATAAATCACTCATAACAGATCCAGCAGCTGCAGCACATTTTAAACGACATGGCCAACAATGATCAGCCCCACGAGCTAAACTCCCACAATAGCTTGTTTTTCCACAGCTAAACGCTTCATTTGCAAAAAATGATTAAAGAAATGTTTGTTTTTTTAAGGTTTGTTTGTTAAAAATTCGCAAAACAAAACACTGTCTGAAAAAATATAGATTTTATAGTTATTAGAACTAAATGACGATGGAGAAATGAGTGAAAATGAGCTAGTTGCTAACTAGAGGCTAACTGGTTGCTAACTAGCTCGGTGTTTGTTTGCCACCGTCTGCTTTTAACCGTCGCTTATCGCATTTAAAGTGCGGTTTATTGTGTCGTTTACCTGCTGCTCCTCCACAGTCGCCATTCCTTCCTCCTGCTCAGACATTTCCTGGATGTAAAGGCGAGGATCTGGGCTCCAAACCGCGTCTGTCCGCCCGGGCAGTTAATGTTCTAGAAGATGACAGGAAGCAGCGCCAGGAGGACGGTGCTGTTAGCAACAGGCCGATTAATCGATCCCAGAGATGCAGGATTAGCTCCTTTTTATCCCCGGCGCCACCTAAAAACACTGCTAGTAGTAACAATATACACTCTTAACGCCAGCTACAATATGTTAATAAATTGCAAGAAGCCATAAAGTCACAAACTAGAGTTTAATACCAGTTTTAGTCCGTGAGGCAGACACCCTGTCTACTTTAAGGCTAGGCTTAAAACTTTCCTTTTTGATAAAGCTTCTAGTTAGAGTGGCTCAGGTTATCCTGAGCTATCTCTATAGTTCTGCTGCTATA